CAAAAATAGGATTACTACTGATTCTATAGGAATTACTGCAAAACTAATCGGTTGTGCGAGACTGATATGTGACTCTCGGGAAGGATTAAATGTTTCATAAATATAGCTAAAAGTGGAAATAGACATTCTGGTAAAAAAAAGGCAATTTAAACGGAGAACACATCAATCATTGGCTTCATGCCGGTAGTAGTCTTCTTGGTTGTGGTTTGGCCGGATTTCTGCTCGTAGTCGGCTCGGCGAACGGATACTGGGACCAGCGTGAATGACTCCTCTTCTTCAACATGTTCCTGAAACTGTTAGGATGCCTTTAGTGGAAACTCTAGTGTAGACAAAAAGGAATGGCTATAGACTCAGACTGTCAACTTGTTTCCGCTTTTTTGAAAACAAACTGCAAGGCCAGAATGCTGGATAATACCATTTGGGATGACATTAGATTAAAGTAAATTTTCAGAGTATCTTGAGTAACTTGCAGAAACACAGTTGTGATTTTAGTTTGAATACAAGGCTGGTGTTCAGGAGGGCCGTAGAAGCTAAACTTCGGATGAGTTGTGGCGTGACGAGAAAAAGTTATAGCATAAATATTGTTAGTTCGCATAAAATTTCTCTACTACTTTTGCGCTCTCACATGCACAATAATTAATCAACTCGTTAAGAGACAACTCGTCCAGGCTAATCCTATTTACAAAGGAGAATCCTGCCCTTTTCGAAACTATGATAGAACAGTCGCTACTGAAGGAGGAAGCCATCTACGAGCGATGAGATGTATGTCTACGGTGGATGCTAAAGCGCCAACGAGGTGCTCGAATCGAACGGGAGAGGCTCACTCTGTGCTCCTCAGGATGCGGATGATGCAGTGCTCTCGAATAATGCTCTTCCACCTTGGGTGTGACTGCGTAGCTTTCATACTTCAGCATCGGCTGACTTTGGTGCTCACTTCTATAAGTCAACGCTTTTTGCGGTGATTTATAGGAGTGTTGGAGGTGTAACTGTTGCTGCTGCTGGAGAAATTCACAACGATAAGAATGCGCACAATATTCACACGGATAGTGTGTATATTCACACGCATAATGATCATGATGGTATGGACAGTAGCAGCAATGGTATTCGTGATGGTATTGTGGATAATCCGTTACTGGAGGTGATGCTGAACGTGCACGTGCAATGACAACCGATTCGCGCTTGGCCGGCTTAAATACATATGATCGTTGCCATCGATCCATATGAAAATAACAAAGCAAGCAAAATGGGATTAGTGGCGGGTAAAGCAGACTCAGAACTTACGACTGGCGCTGCTGCTATTGCAGTGGACGCAAGTTGCTGGCGTTGAGCTGCATTTCCCTGAAAACAGGGACTTTCACAGATTTTAATAACTAATTTGCCAATCCATTCCTTCGAACGAAGAAGCTTACATCGATCAGAAAATTGCACTTCTTATGCTAAGCATTCAAATCCTTTATGTTTTCCTATACGAAAATTCCATAACAAGCAGTTGAAGTATTGTTATTAAAGTTTGCATTTTTGCTTGATTTTTCTTAAGTGATACGCGATGAAGAAATTTTGCAAGTTAGAGTCTGAATGAAAACCAAGTGGGAAACTTGGCACAGGTATGAAGCAAATAG